GACGGAAGGGTTGCCGTGCCTCTCAGTTTTTGAGCAATCGAAAATCGTCTTCTTACTGGTTTCGTATTCAACACGCAACTCCCCCCACTTTTAATTCAGCCCATGAATTTTTGTACTGCAGTACCTTACAAACAAAAGGCCGGGGAATCTTTCTCGAATCAAATAACATTTTCTGAATTGGAGAAAAAAAGATTTAATTGAATTTCACTTTAAACTCTAATTATTTTAAAACAAATTTTTCATCCCATTTATAATGATAGAATAAACTAAAATATGCAAACACAAAATGCTCTTTCATTGATATTTTATCAATATATGTAACATTTATCTTTTTGCATAGTAACAGAAAACTGATTTTAAACGAATGGAATATAGTAAATTATTTTGTGTTTAATTCATTATTTCTGATTTTAGAAACGATGACTTTCACGATATTTATCAATCATTGCAATTGATATGAAATATTCAGTGCTTCTATTAACCTTATTGATACTGAAAATAAAAATAAAAACCTATAAAACATCAAAACACACACAAAAAAGGATGCAATATATGTTTGAATGTTTTTAAAAGTATTTTCAAGATGAAATAAGCTTATATTCAAATGGTAATTCAATCATATAAATCCACACAGGGGATCGATCCCCTTCTCACTAACCAAAGTCAAAATCCAGGAACTAGTGCCCAGTTCCTTTTTAGAACACTTGAGTAAATCTAATTTTACTTTTCTTTAGGTTTCTAAAATCATGATCATGGTTTTTATTGTTTTAAGATTTACGATGTAAACTGTTAACAGATCTAAACACGGGAAAGAAATTTAAATAAGCATAAGAAATGTCCTAGCTCAATGAATTCAGGTGATTAATTTTTTTTAAAGCAAATTAGAGAAAATCCTGAAAGAAAGCATTTGTAAACATATGTTCTAAAAAACTCATGTTTTAAAGGGAGCATAAGGGGAGAGTTTCCATTAGACCGGCGACCCAAATGAATCAAGTAGCAACATGTTGAACCTGCAACCACTGTCGTGAAATCGGAGGTGAATAATGAGCAGATCATATAAAAACAAATATTTTATTCTTAAAAGTGAAATGTTTCACAAGAATTTGAATTTTTTTTTATCCCTACAAAATCTCTCTCGTTCAACTATTGTTAAAATACTTCAATTGATTTTTCTTTTTAAGTTTTAACTGACAATTTGGTGTTCATTTATCACAGATATTAGGTTTGCATCGCCAAACTTTACCCTGACTTTCGCGGTCTTACTTTTGTTCCTTAAAAATCCAAAACGTATTCTCTACTGTGCATGCAAGCTGAATTTTGCTGTATTTCGCACAGTACAATGCGTTTATATATGTGTGTGCGTGTGTATGTAATGATTTTGATGTTGTTTGAAATGTTGTAGTCGTGGCAAGAGAAATGGTTAAGAAGCTAACATAGCAGCATTTATTTACGTACCGTAAAATCTGATTATAAATCGCACCGCCGTATAACGCGCACCTATACTTTCAAGCTGCAATTTTTAATTTTTAGGTATATTAGCCGTATAACCCACCCACCCCCTTTTTTTAGGATGGAACCTGAAATGTACGTGCGCAATGCTCTTATGTTTTGAAGACATTTATTCGAGGTATTATTCCAAGCTTTTGAAAAAAAATAGTATACTTCTGGAGCTACAGCCCTTGAAATTCACGAAGAGTGTCATTTTTTTTTAAATAAACAGTATTTCGATATATAAAGAAGTATAATATTTTTCTATGCTCAAAACTATTTTTATTTTTAAAGGTCTCATTTTTGTACTGGGTGTATAAGGCGTACCCGTGAATTTCGATCTTATTTTTTGTGTTTAAAATATACGTTATCTGCCGGATTTTACGGTATTTATGACACTGGAAAGAGAATTGAATGACCTATCCTCTTAAGCAACAAAAGAATGAGAATTATCCCTTTCTACAGTCGCAGGGAAAAAATTGTAGTAAATTACACTTATGTGTTTACAGATGCACACAAGCAGTGAAGAGAAATAGCTGTTAAAACACTATGTTGGTGGTTTTAGGAGGAGGCCAACTTCTCCAGGAGAAATTAATGCATAAGCTATAGAGTTATTTTTTCTACAAATAGGAATTTTGTAAAAATTTCAACTTATAATAATTCTGCAGATATTTTTAAAATCCTATCTTTAAATACAGTATTATGACAGATGGCACCTATCTCTGAAATGTAGTTCTTATTTATTTATTAAATTTTCAACGCTTCTAAATATCATTTTTGAGCATAAAGTAAAAATATTCGAAACTTGATTCCAATACCTATTTACAAACTTTCCTGGTGATAAGTCTCTACCAACCTCAAAATTCAAAATGAAAAATAACGTTTTTCTCAACATAACGCATTTGTATGAAAAAAATTATTTATTGCATTAAATTCAAAATTTATTTAAAAAGTTAATATTTGTCCTCAGTAGGGCTTATTAAAACAAATTTTACACAAAATAAATAAACAGTGAGAACACTTACGAAATTTTAAGATTTAGTTTGAATAACATCTATCTGGAAGCAACGACTGGTATACTTCGTAACTTTTAATCACGTTCAAGTGACGAGGACGATATTATTTAAGCTTTCCTCCCTCTTCAATATTCCATAATGCACCATTTGTGATTCAGTTCCCTTTTACGAACAAATGTTCTATTATACCTTTCGACGCGTCTTATCTAAAACCAAAAAAAACTTAAACTTTTTTTCTTTTTCACGAGATTCGAGATGATAATCTATGTGTTAACGCTGGTTTCATGAAACTTCGAGTGAAATAAAAATTATATAAGCCAATGAGGATGATCATATCACTTAACGAATGTATTTTTAAATTGTTTCGAATAATTAATAAATATTTGCAAAATTAGCAATACATATTATGATTTTTTTTTAGTCGCATTAAAAAGGAAAAAAAAAGATATATCAAATAATAAAGTGTAAAAGTTTGTACAACAGCTTGTTTAAAAAAATTACATATCAAGTTTATTTAAAGTATCCGACTAAGTTCCAAACCATGATTTTAAAAATGTGTATAAATAATTTTTTATATATATTTAATGTCACCTAAATTAGATTAAACATATAAAATTGTCTTGAAAATAGTGCTACAATAAAAATTACTTAAATGCTTTTTTTGGCAAAAAAAGGAAGAAAGAATGACATATTTTTAAAAAAATTGAGAGAAAATGCTTCTAAAATAATAATTTTGCTTACTTATAGATATGACTTCTCTACAGAGTTTGAACTAAGATTTTTGAAAAATTCCAAATATTTTCAAAGTTACGCTCAATTAAAATAATAACTGGTGTTTTTTTAGTTAAAATTTCTCTATTCTGTTGTAATATAATAGGAATGAGAGAGAGAGAGAATCCACTTCTAAATAATATATTTCAAAAGTTCTAGTTCAGGGTCAGTATAGAAATCTTAGTTATTATATAGGCAAAATATTATTCTTATTAAAGCCTTTTCCATAAACGGAGAATTTTTTGAATATATGTCATTCTTTCTAAATTTTTTTTTTAAGTGTTTGTGCTAAAAAATTGCATTTAAATAATTTTTTCTTTTAATAATATTTTTTAAAAATAATTTTATGTGTATATTCTAATTCAGGTGATACTAAATATAAAAAAAAAATATTCATTTCTAAGCTTTTTAATAATTACGTTTCGAACGTAGTCAGATACCTTAAAAAATACCTATTATACTAACTATTTAAAAAAAACATAGAAAAATGGTTAAAAATTAATTTTATTTTAAAATATATAGATGCATTCAAGTCTCAATCAAGATAGACAAAAGTAAAATTAAACTGGCACAAAGTTTCTTTTTTCAGTAATACATCGGTTTTGTAAGCAAAATGAACATTCCTTTTGACAATTTTTTTGTCTGTGCAAAGTTTATCACCCATGTGCTTCTAGCAGAAAATTTCCCAACCCATCTTTTTTAATTCCTACTATTAGTTCATCCTCTCCCTATAATATATATATATATATATATATATATATATATATATATTATATATATATATATAGTCGACTCTCGATAATTCAAACCTTCGATAATACGAACCTCTCGATAATTCGAAGCATGTGTTCAGTCCCTAGAAAAACTCTTGATATTTCGAACGTTTTGGTACACACACTCAATATTTCGAAATAAAATCTGTAGCTAACCAGACTACAACACGCTATAATTCGAACACTCACTGTCATCTGTAGTCCTGTAATAAACAGGTTGGAGCTTACAAGTTTTGCGTTGTGTTGTCTCTGCGTGTTTCCCCTGTAATGTAGCCCCTTTGATGACCATCTGTCTGCTACCCCTTCTTAGTGTTTTCCGATTCCTCAGGCGAAAAGACAATTTATTGTTTTCATTCCTTTAAGTGGACCTTTAATAGAACAAACGCACCTTTTGTCAGTAGTCCATTTCTTTCGTTTAACACGTGGCTTTACTACACATGTGTTCAGAAAGGATTGCCCGCTATTATGAAGAAGAGATGCGTAGAATTGTATATAAGAGAGAATGCATTCTTTTAAAACAGGACTTTTAACTTCTGTAAATTATTTATGCTGTACAATATGGACTTTTTAAAAACATTTTAAAATAAATTACATAGTTTCAAATTTAAATGTGTTAGAAAAAAAATTTCTCTTCGTGTATTTTGGGAATTTTTTCTATCCTCTTGATAAGTCGAACTCTTGATAATTCGAAGTTTTTCATTGGTCCCTCGAACTTCGAATTATCGAGAGTCGACTACATATATATATCTTGTTCAAATTTTCAATCGTTAGTAAAGTACTTTCTATTCATCCATTCAAGTTCAAGACATTTTTTTTAACTTGTAGAGGATGACACTTGATGTTAATACAGTTTTTTCAAATATTAATTCATTAATTAAATTAAAAAATGAATAAATAGTAACAAACAAAAATAATAGTTTAACAGCATGTAGAAAGGAAAATCGTTCGTTGTATCCCTGTAGCACATTGGATATCGCGTTGGACTTCTAATCCAAAGGTCATGGGTTCGATTCCCATCTGGAATGACCTAATTTCTGAGAATGCGATTTCTTTTTACTAAACTATTTTATTTGAATAATTAAACTTAATTAATGAATAAATAGAAGCAAACAAAGAAAAATAGTCCAACTCTCTCTCTATATATAAGAAGAAGAAAAATAGCTTTTTATTTTGTCACTTAATATTGTGATTCTGTCATATTTATATATAAACTGTAAGAACTAAAAACAGTATCAAAAACAAAAAATTTCCTAAGTAGGAATTGACAAACAAAAATATTTTTTTTTTCTTGTTCTCTTGTAATCCACGTGTTGGACAATTACAAAAAAAAAAAAAAAAAAATCGATTTTTTTATATATCCGAAAATTTGAATTGACTCTTCAAACGTACGGAAGGCGAACTAAGTCCCGCGCGTACCTCAAAACAAAGCAAAAAAAAAAAAGTATTTTATGATAATAATAATAAAAAAAATTTTAAAAAATTTATGAAAAGACTCCTGAAAAAGGAGATGCCTGGAATAACACACCCAAGGAGAGAGAAGTTCCCTCTGTACTGCCCAGATAGTGGAAGAGGGAGTTTTCTGACGTCCCTTTTGAAATTCGCCGAAAAAGAGAATGATAGGGACTGGCCTTCCTTTTGGTCAACATCGACATGTGCTGGCAGAAGAGTGTGGTTGAATTCCGAGAAAGAGGAGAAGTGACCAATGAGAAGCGCCAGAGAATCTAGAGTCAATTTGAGTTCGGTGGTACGAAAATAAAATTAAAAAAGAAATGCACGGGGGAGGAGGGAATGAGCTGGGAATAACCCCCCTCCCCTTGATTATACTGAATGACGCGGCGCTACTTGGGAAGTTCTAATCAATAATTCCGGTTGCTAAGACGACGAGTTTTCCCACCTGATTCTCCTCCTCGTGCGTCAGAAATGCAAATGCAGGACGCGACACGCGCATGCAAAATCCAGCCCTCTCAGGCAAAGGATAGGGTTTAAAAAACGGGCAGACGGTCCGTGGTTGGCTGATGCGGCGGAAGGAGGGTGGAACCCTTTTCACACAGCAAATCAAGATTTAGATCGCTCTTTACTCCTGTTATCTTACGAAATGAAGAATAAAAGTTGGATAAAACACAGACGGGATAAAAAATGTACCGTACTCTCTTTACCGGATTGACAGTTGTTTTACTGTTGAACCCATAAACGCAGTTGAAAATATTGTAGTTTCAATTCACCTCCCCCCCTTTTTAAAGTTTTATTTTAAAAACCGAACAGGAAAATAAAGCGTGAGCCAATCGTCTCCCACTCTTAAAACCGTACTCCTATGTAGTACCTTACCTTGTTTTTAAAAAGCCTACAGTTTACAGTTCTTTACTTTTTGCTCCATCTCTACCCTCCCCTCCTTTTGAAGAGAAAGAGAAAGGAATTAGGTGGTGAGAGGGTGAGAGTCCACAACGGTTTCAAAGGTTAGGGGAAATTGGGGTTTCTCATATCATCTGTCCGGATAAGAGGTGATTCTAACGTCATGATACAGAAAATTCTTGTCCGGAAAATTTTAAAAGGAAGGGGGAAAAGGAAACAGCCGGTAATGCTTCCAAAATAGGTGCTTGATTCAAGACAAAAAATATATATATAAAATGCATTTCAAAAGTTTCGTGCTTCGTTTTTCTAAGTTTTTCTTCTCAAAAAATGCTTAAAAAAATTATTGTTTTCTATTTTTTTTTTATGTATATGCAAGGTACGAAGAAATCTTTTTCCAAAAGAAATACAAACGAAAAGAAAAGAATGTTAAAGTTTACAGGAAAAGTTATTAAATAAAAAACTGAACCAATTTAATCAGTGTAAAAAATACATTCGCAACTTTAAGTGAATCAACGTTATGTATAAAAAAATGTGTCACCCCTATGTAAATTCTATTAAATATACATCTTTATTTATCTCTTCATTCCATTAATTATTCCCAATATTATACAAAGGGACTTTCTTAACGTATTAATAGCTTAATTAAAAACACTTTTAGATTTTCTTTTTTAAAACTGAAAAAACTTCACAACTCTGAAGTAAATTTCTTGCATATAAATGTAAAACTTTCCGTTATAAAATTAAATATACCGACTATGAATGCTATTGAAACATCAATACCTGAATGAATTTTCACGAAAAATCAGTTCCTTAATCAAATTATATTGTAACAAATTCAAAATTAGCCAAAGAAATGTATTTTCACTATGTATATTAATACATAAAAATTCAATTAAAAAAGAACGTTATTCTCTGCAATTCAACCACATATAAGGTCGAAGCTAACGGAAAATAGTGAATATCTTGAATAAAAAAAACTAGCAATCTTTAGTACAGAAAGAATGAACTCGGAATACTTCGGTAGTAAAATAATTAAAACTTCTTATGACATAACTCTTCTAAAATTATGGCAAGAAAAAGAATTTATAGTGAAAATCGAGATATTTGACAGTGTTCATTTTGGATACGTAAATATATTTACTCAATGTGAAAACATAACGAATCCTCATTAAAATTTAATATCAATATGATTAAAAACGAGAGAAAGAGAAGGGGGGGGGGACGTACACCGAAAGAAAATACGAAAAGTACTTCCCCTTTCCAAAAGACGCGGGTGCTTACGAAAAGAAGCGAGGCTTGGTCTACGCGAAAGGGATGGAGGGAGCTAAACGAAACGGGGAAGGGGGGAGCTGTGTCCGCGCCCCTAATGATGATGTACCCCGGCGCTGACCACGGACTTAGTTGCTATGGAGACGGTCATTCCAATGCATGAGGAACGAGATGCATTCCGGGTGGCTGCTCTTGGCCATCTTGGACCTTCCCAGCGCACTCCCCCTTACCAAAAGCGTCCCCCTCAACCTTAAGGCCAGTCGTGGAAGGAACTCTCCAAAGCTGCACTTCCCCCTACCGCTGGGTCTCCCAAAGCAAAATCCCCCCCCCCTTCTGGTAAAAATCGATTGTATTGGGGGAGTATGGAAAAGAGAGGGGGGCTTTCGATGGATAATGGCGCTGATAGTGGGGGCTAAACTAGTAGTCGACGGAGGTACGGGAGTTGGGCAGGAGCAAGGTTGGATGCTAAACTGCCCTGGCAGAATAAAACACGCATCCTGATAAACTACAGACTGAATCAATTGCAGTCGCTGACCATTTTCCTTAACTTCCCTTTTATATCGCTAGTTTGATTGTTATTCGTACCTCCCCGGCTTAAAAAGAGCGAGGAATAAAACAAAGGAATAAAAAGACCTAATAATAGGAAACAAAAACAAAATAGTAGATACACTGCCGTAGGAAGCTTATTTTTATTTCTCAAACAAGAACGACCTAAAAGAAGTTGATTCCTGCTTTTGCGTTTTGTTATTCATTTCGGTTCTTGTCCAGATGGAGGGAAGGAACCCATTTATGTTCGCTACAAACTCAAACCATAGGCAATAAGACAGGGTTGTAAAGACTTTGCAATTGATATTACTTTAATACCATAAAAAAAATTCCACTATAGTACGGATGAGGATGTTAAAAATAAAGAAATGAGGAATAAAAAAACTGGTTTTCTTATTTTTTTATTCTTGATAAAATGTTATTAAAGAAGTGATCAACTAATACAAAAGAGAACAAATCGGATAGAACAAAACAACCGAAGAAACCATCATAGAATTCAGGAGTAAGTTTTTTGCCCAACTTATACAAAAATTTTCAACTATTAGCTCGTTTACATACAACTAAAAATTGTATGACTATTTAACTAGAAATAAATAAGTAAAATTGAACAAAATGAGCGGAAATACAATCGACCAATTCTGAAGTTCTTGATTTTTTTTTTTTAAAAACTTGAACAACAAAAAGAAAAACAGAAAAAAAAAATCTACCGAAGATTTAAAAATTAGAAAGAGCAGACCAAATCTTAGAAGGATTGATGGCCTAGAAAAAGATCTCCTAGTTTTGAGAACTAAAAATTGGAGAACACTAACAGGAAGAAGACTGGCCGGGAAAAGGCTTCTTGAGAAGGTCAAGGTCCACCATGGGCTGTCGAGCCCCTGAGGAAGGAGGAAGATTAACAAATTATTAAATATTTAAAAATCTTGATTTGAAAAAAATAAAAAAAATTGAATATAAATAATTCGATGAATATTGATTGGCAATATTCAATTACGTTTTATTATATTTCGAAATTTTCTCATCCATTTGTTTTTTTTTTGACAAAAAACGCCCCGCTATGTCTAAAATAGGTATTTGTAAATTAACTGGCAATTACAAGAATTGTAGGCAACGATACAACTGTATAAAAAGAAGAAGAAATATAAACTTTTGTATATATTATATTGTTATAATTAGCACTATATTTTGGTTTTAATCAGATAAATAATTTAAAGGCTTTGTATAAAATTCTACGTTTTGTATTCGATTGAAATACAAAAAAATCAAATACTATCCCTAACGAAAAGAGTTTACTATTTTAAATTTAAGCAAAATAAGAATAAGAATAATAATAAAAAGAATTTCTCCCTTAAATGAAGAAAGCTTAGCAATGTTTATTTATAAACAAACTTATGCATGAACTTTCATTCCTTTTATGAGTATTTATATTTTAATGAAAAATGTATTAAATAAATAGAAATTTTTTTAAAAAATCGACTTAATCGATTTTTACTACACTATTAACAGAGTAACGAAGAGAGAAAAACAAATCTTATAGGTTTCCGCTTCAATATTTCCAGGAAAGAGAATTCCATGAATATTATCTCGAAGCCGGAGAATGGAAATTTCTTCCATGAAAACCGAGGTTTAAAGATTCCATTGGCCGTCGCTTGCATCCATTGGGAAAGCCGGCATCCATGCAGATTGGATGGGACAAGATGCGCGAGCACATTCCGAACGGGAGTAACAGTTGTCGAGAAAAGGAGAGGACCAATAAACAAACAAAAGGGGATAAGAAAATCCAAATCAACCCCTTTCTGTCAGCGACTAGGAGGAAAGGAGAGGAGCAAGAAAAGGAAGAAGTGGAGGAGGATGAAGGAGAGAG